GTGTAACCACACCCCCAAGCACACTTCTGGAGCCACATGCATTCCAACTTCCAGTGCTCCTGCTCTCCAAGGCCTCCATTGACATCTACAGAAACCTAGCTGCTGTGGAACCCAGCCTTGCTGATGGACCTTGTAACAGAAGCGTAGGCAGGACAGAGCACACGGAGAAGATGGGGAACACACAAAGCTTTATTGAAACAACAAAATGACAGACACTCAATGGGGAAATGGCAGGGAGGGTGATGTGTGCGCAAACCAGGGACGATTCCAGGCAGGGGGGTCTTCTCCGGCAGGGTGGCTTGTGCGGTCTTCCCCCCCTTTGGACGCCTCAGCTGAGCTCCCTCCGTGACTGCACAGCAGATTGGAGACTCGGGCAACAGGCTGGCAACCTACCCCTGGGCAGGGGTCTCGGGCAACAGGCAGGCAAGCTCCCCCCTAGGCTTGGGGGGTCCCAGGCAGAGCCAGGTCACGAGGGTCCCGCCTCAGCTGAGCTCCCTCCGTGACTGGACAGCGGATTGGAGACTTGGGCAACAGGCAGGCAACCTACCCCTGGGCAGGGGTCTCGGGGACTCAACGGGACTCTAGCTGTGGAGTCTGGCTTAGCACAGCTCCCACCCAGCTTTCTAGGGACATCGAGGTCACGGGGGGGGGGTCAGTGTGCACACTAGGGACAGTTCAGAACACGGGTGGTTTGTGCACACAGCAGGGACATTTCAAAACACGGGTGGTCGGTGCACACAACAGGGACCATTCAAAACACGGGTGGTCGGTGAACACACCAGGGACAGTTCAGGACATGGGTAGTCTGTGCGCACAACAGGGACAGTTAAAGACATGGGGGAGGTCAGTGTGCACAGCAGGGACAGTTCAGAACACGGGTGGTCGGTGCACACAGCAGGGACAGTTCAGAACACGGGTGGTCGGTGCACACAGCAGGGACAGTTCAGAACACGGGTGGTCGGTGCACACAGCAGGGACCGTTCAAAACACGGTTGGTCGGTGTGCACAGCAGGGACAGTTCAGGACACGGGTAATCTGTGCGCACACCACGGGCAGTTCATGGCTTCTAGGGACACTCACGGTAGGCAACTTGCAGACGCTCGGCAGCAGGCGGCTTCCAGGGAGGTGGGCGACTTGTGGATGCTCGGCAGCAGGCAGCTTCTAGGGACCCTCACAGCAGCCGGCTCCTCCAGGGGCCTAGCAATCAGCAGCAGGGGCCCTCATGGCAGCTGGCTCCTCCAGGGGCCCAGCGATCAGAAGGCAGGGGCCCTCAGAGCAGCCGGCTTCTCCAGGGGCCCAGTGACCCGCAGGCAGGGGCCCTCACAGTGACCAGCTTCTCCAGGGGCCCAGCGATCAGCATCAGGGGCCCTCACTGTGGCCAGCTTCTCCAGGGGCCCAGCGATCCAAAGGCAGGGGCCCTCACACTGGCCTTTCTGCTTCTGGAGGAGCTGAGAGACTGACAGATCAGTGTGAGGCAGAATCATCCATTGTACCACAAGCCTAGATGGTGGAATTCCTTTAAGGAAGTGTGTCCTGCTGTGAGAAGATTCAACCCCAGAGACTGACATATGTGTATGTACAATTATATGCCAATCATCGCCATGTGTATTGTGTAAGTTGCCAATTGTCTACTTTATTAAATGTTTTTAATAACCACTAAACACAGATGTGCTCTTTTCTATCCATATTTGTTATTCTAGAGAATGTTCAGCCGCTCAAGAGGTGCTGCATTAAAGTGTCTTGGAACTATGCGTGAGACATTCCATAATCTTCACGGCCACTCTCCTTCTGACATAGATCTGTTTACACCCCTGTGCCATAATCTCCTTTCCTATATTCAGTTTACAGTAGTCCACACAGAACCTCAAGCTACCATCTTTCTTGCATATCAGCACAATGGGGGCACCAACTCTTTGATAATTCCACACAGCAGCATGTTACAGATTGAGTCCTTGATCTCTTGACATACTGTAGAGCTGGTGGTATATGACAGTACCTCACCCGAATGGGTGGAGCATTCCCCATGTGGATTGGGTGATCTGTGGTCTCAGTGCAACCATAGTCCTCAGGGCTAGTAGCAAAGAGTAGTAAATGCCTTTCTAGCAGTTGGTACAGAAGACGTGGCTAAGGAAGTGGGTATTCCTGGAAGGGGATGGCCAGCTGGTCTAGTAACTGTTGGTACTTTTCACCATTCAGGAGGTATGGAAGCTTGCAAAGGTGCTCATATGGCCTCCACCCCTGGTTGGGCCTTGGATAAGCAGTGGTTGGGGACCACACAGAGGTCTGCAAGGGTTTTATGATTTGGGAGTGGGACCGGGGTGGTTCCCAAGTTGATAAGTTGTACTAGTACTGTACCCTGGTGCACCTTGGACAGGGTACAGGCCATCAACCATTCCATTAGAACCCTGGGGTCCTTTCAGGGTTCCACTATCACTGTTGTCCCTTGTAGGTTCTCGTGGGCCCCAATAGGCAAAAAAAAAACAACTTCTTGAAAGGGGGTAAGTAACAACCTTTGCCTGGGAAACGTGCTAACAATGCCTACCCATTATGTCTGCAGTCTAGTTGCCTTCTGGTAGGCCTCAGAAGCCCAGATCACATTAGGCCACGCAGTCCACAAGCTACAGCCCTGTGCACCCTTGCCCATCTGTTCCATCTTTGCCAGCGAGTGTGGTAGGTCCATTTTTTTCAGGATGTTCATACTGCAGGTTACCACCACCTGGTCATCTATCTGTATCTTCACCCAGGTAACTCTTTCCATACAAATTGGCAGATTGTTGCCTGCTTTCAGGGACAATCAGGATGGATCCAATTGGTCTCGAGTCCTGAACCATTGTGCACAAAACTCATACTCTATGACTGTGACCTCAGACCCTGTGTATTCAAGCAAGGGACAATCTGGTCATTCACAAGGACATTAACTACAGGGCTTGGTGCAACCATAGTCTCTGGTCCCTTAGGACTTTGAGGTACCGTTCCAGTAGGTTGTCTCTCTGCCCCAGGAACCTTTAGTTTAACTGTGGCCTCTGGACGTTCTAGTTCTCGGACCGGCCACAGTTTCTGGTTAGATGCCCATAGCGGCCGCACCACCAGCATTTCCTCTCTTTTTTGGATCTCTTTGTAGCAGGTTCTGACCCTTTGAGAGGTGGGCTAACTCTTGTATGAATGAAGACATGTCTTGCATCATGGACACCATTTTATGGATTAATTTCCTAATGGCAGCTGCATAGCCGACAGTGCCAGAGCCTCCTCTCTTATGTATGTATGTATGGTTCATGTTTCTTTGTGACGGTGAGCTCTCCTAAGAGGTCCAGCCCTCATTCCTCCCACAAACTGGTCCAGAAATTACGTATGTGGGGTGCCTATGTTGGCACACCCATGTATGTCTTTCTTGTCTTGCCTCTTCCATTGATTTTCGAGGGCTACCACAAAGTGGGTGTGACTTTTATCCTCCAACTGTCTGCGGATCAAAAAACCTGAGTCTTAGTTCTGGCACAGTCACGTTCTTCCCAAAAAGGCCTTCCATCCACACCACAATTTGTTCCAGGCCAGCTCATTATTCTTCAGGTAGCACCATCACAGCTTGGAGGGCATCATCCTCTAGTGAGTTAATGACCAGCTCCGCGATGGGTTTGGTAGAGAACAGATACAGGTGGGCACCACTCTCTAGTCACTCTTCCCACTCTGATAGAGAGGTGTTGAACCTATTGAACTTGGGCACTTAAACCAAGGCTGCTGCTATTGGTGCCATAGTGGCCATCGCTCTTCTGTCTGCACCAGCTACAAAAAGGGGCATATCCTGCCATCTGTCACCAAGTGTGAGCAGGGTGCAGCGTGGCATGTCGGAGAGCAGATGCCAAGATGAGCAAGAACAATGTATTATAGAAAGTTCCAAACAAGGTAACACTAGGCCTGGTGGGTAGGCACAGCCTTTCGGAGCCACTTATGAAACTGTGGCAACAGTCTGTTCACTTTCAGTGATGCCAGCAGCATTTGCAACAAGGAGCAGGAATGCAACCTTGCTGTTCCACACCCAAAGAAGAAGCTTCCTATGGAAGAGGATAGGTGTAGTTCCTACACTGTCTCTACTCTTCAGGAACCTCTCCCTTACTCTAAACACTTTCCCTGACTGATGGGAAATCTATCCCTACACTGAATACTCACAAAATGCGCACCAAATTAGGAAGCCAGTGTCTGCCACCACCAAAGACGGCCACAGGCCATAGGAAGTTAGAGGAACTAGTTTCCTCACACCATCCTTGCTCTACATTGCTGCTCAAACCTAGCACCACCTAAAAAGGGGAGTAGAGACTGTACCTGGCTACATGTTCTGTGCTATGATTTTTGTGCATAGAAAGCTACAGTTTAAGGGTGCATTCAAACCCGTTAATGAACTTGCACTCCAATTTGATGTGAGAACTCGAGCGGCTTACCTGAAATTAGCTGCAGGACATAGCCCCATTGAAAGCAATTGCAGTCAAGGGCTGATCACTCATATTTGGTTGTTGCATGCATGATTACATGCAAATGTTTGTGAATAGCTGTGGTTGCTGGCAGACTCCCATTGCTATCAAAGGAGCTGCCTCCTTCAACCGACCTCTGAGTTTACTTATCTAATGGCAGTGTGGGTGCATTCACAGGTGTGAAGGCACCCTCAGTGGATATTAATATTGTTATCCTGAAAAATGCTCTTATGAGGCTATGATTGTTGAATGCAATAAGATCAGATTCTCCTGTGTATGTCCTTCTATAATCTCATCTACTGTATGTTATTTGTTATCAAGACAAAACCCAGTTTTATCAGATTTTAGCAATGTTTTATGAAACTATTATTTCATAGATGATAACAGAGTGATATGATCCAAGATTTAGATGACAGTCCAATATTGGCCTTATACAGAGACAAAAAAGGAGGTCTATATAACTACTTTAAATATACCACATGTATTAAATAATAAACTGCCCCGGAATATTATTGTCTCAGTCAGTCCTGTTATACTCACTGCAGTTCCTTTATCTGGCTTGTTGTCAGAGCTACCATCAGATCACTAAAATGAGAACCCTCCAGATTGTTCCCAGACAGGTCCAGTGTCCTCAGTGTCTGGTTATTTCTTATTCCAAATGCCAGGTGGGGGCAGGAACTGGCTGTCAGACGATTACTTTCCAATCTGTAGAAGAGAAGAATGTTACCAGAAGAAAATGACTTTCTCCCCAGGAATAAATATAACTATTCTCTATATGAATGAAACTCATTTCTCTTTATTGGAATCATTTACATTAGGTCACTTTATAAAACTTCAGTAAAATTAATTTTACAAGAAAAATGTTATAATGGAGTAGACACCCCAATATTGTCATCCATGTGTAGACACCCCAATATTGTCATCCATGTGTACAGCATGACCACAGAATACCACTGACATGACTCCCCCCGACACTTAATAGTAGATTTGTAGTAATGGGGAGATCCTGTGACACTGAATAGTAAATGTGTAGTAATGGTGAGATGCCCCTGACATTGAATAGCATGTGTAGTAATGGGGAGATCCCCTGACACTGAATAGTGGATGTGTAGTAATGGGGAGATCCCCTGACACTGAATAGCGGATGTGTAGTAACGGGGAGATCCCCTGACAATGAATAGTGGATGTGTAGTAAAAGGGAGATCCCCTGACACTGAATAGTGGATGTGTAGTAATGGTTAGATCCCCTGACACTGAATAGTAGATTTGTAGTAATGGGGAGATTCCCTGACATTGAATAGTAGATGTGTAGTAATGGGGAGATCCCCTGACACTGAATAGTAGCTGTGTAGTAATGGGGGGATCCCCTGACACTGAATAGCAGATGTGTAGTAGTGGGGAGATTCCCCTGACAATGAATAGTAAATGTGTAGTAATCGGGAGATCCCCTGACAATGAATAGCAGATGTGTAGTAATGGGGAGATCCCCCTGACAATGAATAGTAAATATGTAGTAATGGGGAGATCCCCTGACAATGAATAGGAGATGTGTAGTAATGGGGAGATCCCCCTGACACTGAATAGTGGATGGTATTGAGTCTGCAGTGTGCATGGAGCCTGAAATAATGTTCCGGAATCAGGGAACCCCTGCTAAAAAGAACTTTTTCTACAACTCATGATACATTAGTGTTATATTGAGAGGGAAGAATGCTTTCTACACTTGTTTTCACTGGGAAGAATTACCCCCTTACAGATCGCTAAATGAATCATTGGTGTCAGTGGGAACTTACTGTATCTGAGAGGCACAAATTGCTCATTGCTCAAGGAAACCCTAGCACCACCTGGAGGGACCCTAGTTGAGAAACCCTGACAGAGGAGATGAAAAGTCCCCTAAGTGTTGCACTTTTGTGTTTCAAATATTTTTATTGAAAGATTTTGATACAGTACAAAAACAGTAAGTGTCAATATGGTTCACATTTAGGTACAGCAATACATTATATAAAACAAGTAGCGGAAAAAGGATTCCCCACCATTTGGCTGGGGACTACATGAATTAGTGTCAGGTGGCTCAGGAGGTATTGTCTGATGTGAACCAATGAGATTTGAAACGCTGTATAGGGAGGTGCGGAACATGGGAGGGGGGAAGGGGGGGCACCAGTCTAGCACATAGAGTCGTAGTATTGTGTATTTATACATATATTATCATTTTATAGAGCAATTGGGGTTTTGTAGCCATCGAGACCATAGAGTAATGAATTTGTGGTAGGAAGAATTATTGAGGGCAGCTGCTAATGTGTGAATAATAATGGTGCGGGATTCGTTAGGGAATTTATCGATTCCTATAAAGAGAAGTGCTAGAGCCAGAGTTGGAGCTACTTGGGCTCCAACTACTGATGAGATCAATTGGAATATGCTGTTCCAATATGATCTTAGAGATTTGCACGTCCAAAGTATATGTAGGGTTAAACCTATTTCTCCACATTGTCTCCAACAAGCTGGTGAATGGTGAGAGTAGTATAAGGAGAGTTTAACCGGTGTAAAATACCACTGGTGTAGAATTTTCATATACGATTCCCAATGGGAGCTACATCTAGATGCTTTGTGGGTAATGTTAAAAGTTCTTTCCCGTGTGTGGGATTGTATTGGTTGTGCAAAGAGTTTCTCCCAGTTAGATAAAGAGGTGGTTTGTAGGGTAAATAGTAATCCGGTTATAAGCGTGTAGAAGGTCGAAATCCCTTTCTTGGGGTATTGCACTTTGTTGAGAAAGAGGTATGCGGTAGTAGGAACTTTAACAAGATGCGGAACATTTATCTCTTGTAAGGAGTGCGCTATCCTTATATGTGTGAAGATTTCACTGTCAGGGAGGTAAAATTTCTTCTGGAGAGTCAGGAAAGAATCTAAAGTTGTGGTTTGTGTAGATGGCGCGTATACAGGAGATGCCTTGATTATCCCACTGTGTGAGGCTTAGAGAAGGGGTAATAACATGCAGTACAGTAATCGGGGTAGGTATTGTTTTGTACTCTGGTGGGTTGGATGCTAAAAAGGTCATACCAGGCTTGTAGGGAGGCCCTGATGCAAGGGTGTATGGGTAGGTCTTTGAGTTGAGATATATGTGGTAGGAGCATTATATCGCGTAGTGTTGATGCAGGGTGAGGGAGTGTCTCCATGGTAGTCCATATTTTTTCAGTGGTTGGGTGCCACCAAAAGTAGAGTTGGTCTAAGAGTGCGGCATTGTAATATGATTTTAAGTGCGGGAGACCAGCTCCTCCTCTAGAAGTTGGGCGTATGAGGAGATTTGTCATGCATCTGGGTTTCTTTGCGTTCCAGAGGAATTTGGCAAGTATTGCTTTGTAGTTTGGCAAAGAATGTATTGGGGACTGGTATGGGGAGTGTGCAGAATATATATAAAGGATTTTAGGCAGTATGCACATTTTTAGGGTAGCTACCCTACCCAATTTTGATAGCGTGGACGTGCGCAGGTTTTTAAGTTCTTGAGGGATTTTATCAAGTAGTTTGTGTGTGATTTAAGGCGTAAAGTTGGTTTGTCGAGGTGGGCAGTTTAATTCCCAGATAAGGGATGCTGTGTTGTTCCCAAGTGAAAGGGAAGCGTTTGAGAAGTGTTCCCTGGAGCTTAGTAAGTATATTGAGATTTAGGATAGAAGATTTAGGTGCGTTGAGTTTGTATTATGATATTTCTGAGTAGTTTTGAAGATGTGTTTGAATCGTTTGGAGCGATTTGCATGGATTGGTAATCATTAGTGTAATGTCATCTGCAAATAGGCTGATTTTATGTTCTCTTTTGAGGTGGGTGATTCCCGTGAATGCTGGGTCATCCCTAAGTTTAGAGGCTAGTGGTTCAATGAGTAGAGTGAAAATTATGGGGGATAAGGGACAGCCTTGTCTAGTACCTTTGGAGATTTGAAACATCTGTGAGAGAGTACCATTGGTTAGCACTCTTGCTGAAGGGTTGGAATAAAGGGCAAGGATCGCCGATAGCATTCAGTCCGTAATTCCGAACCTTTGGAGTGTGAGTTTCATAAATTGCCACTGTATCTGGTCAAATGCTTTTTCAGCGTCAAGAGATAATAGTAGGGAGGGTTGTTTCGTGGTTTCTATTTTGTGTGTGAGGGAAAATGAGTCTCCTAGTTGCATCCGGAACTTGGCGACACGGAACAAATCCCACTTGGTCTGGGTGGATTAACATAGGCAAGTGGGGAAGCAGTCTTTGGGCTATTAATTTGGCGTAAAGTTTTATATTTGTATTGAGTAGTGAAATTGGTCTGTAGTTCTGAACAAGTTTGGGGTCTTTGCCGGGTTTTGGGATAGTTATGATTATAGATTGGAGCATTTCATTAGGGAATGTACCTGTAGAGGCGGCATGGTTAAAAAAATCTGTTAGGTATGGTGCAAGATTTGGGGCAAATGTTTTATAAAATTTGTTGGTGAAGCCGTCATTCCCTGGAGATTTGTTCAGAGGTAAGGTTTTTATTATTTTCTCTATTTCCATGGGAGAAAATGGGGCAGAGATGGAGGTGAGTTGTGATGGAGTAAGGTGGGATAGATTCGTGGTGGTTAAGAAGTTTTGTATAGATAGCGTTGTCGGTTGGGGTGTGTCTGAATTGTCTTTGATATTGTACAGAGTCTGGTAGTAAGTAGCAAAAGCGTTAGCTATGTCTTGTGGATTCGTAAGCAAAGTGTCGGTAGTTGGGTGTAGGATTGAGGGGATTTTTGATTTAAGGCATCTTTGTTTAATTATTTTTACTAGAAGTGAGTTTGCTTTGTTACCTAGGGAGTAAAATTGTGATTTTGTTTTTTGAAGGTTGAGGTCATATTTGTGGCGTAAGAGGGTTCGGCGCTGGTTTCTGAGGTAAGGGAAGCAGATGTGTGGGTGTTTGGATTTTGTTTATTAATTTCTTTGTTTAGTTTTATGGAGGCTAGAAGCTGGTCAATTTGTTGAGTTCTCCGTTTAGTGATTCTAGAGTTGAGTTGTATGAGAATACCTCGCATGTAAGCTTTGTAAATGGGCCAAAGTGTGGTTATAGAGATATCAGGCGTAGAATTCAGGTCAAAGAATAGGTTATGAGCTTCTAACAAATGCTTTTGATTGTCCAAGTTCTTTAATAATGCAGAGTTCAGTCTCCATATGGGAGGGAGTGTTGAGCGTTGGGAGTCATCCAGGATTATGTTGATTGGAGCGTGGTCTGACCATGAAATGGTGCCAATGTTGGATGATGATACGTTTTGTAGAGTCCATTTATCTGTAATAAAGAAATCGATTCTGGAATAGGATAGATGAGAGGGGGAGTGGTAGGTGTAGTCTCTTTCGGTGCTATGTTGGCATCTCCAGATATCGTAGAGGTCGTGGTCGTGCAGGAAACGGTTGAAAGCTTGTTTGGAAGATCTTTTGTTGGAGGATGAGTCTAGGAGTGGATTGCCGATGATGTTGAAGTCTCCGCCGATGATTAGTCTGCCCTTGTTTTTGAGAGGAGATAATAGTATGAAGTTTACGGAAGAATCGGTTCTGATTGTTGTTTGGGCCGTAGACGTTCACAAAAGTGTAGAGGATATCGTGGAGTTTGCAGATCAGAATGTGATAGCGACCTTGAGGGTCAGCTACTTCCGAAATATAGTGAAACTGTGTAGTGTCTTTTATAGCCGTAAGAACGCCATTATGCTTCTTGGGATTAGTGGACATATATATATGGGAGAAACGATGCAGTTGTAGCTTGGGGGTCTTCGTTGGTGCGAAATGTGTTTCTTGTATGAAGAGAATGTCCGCACGAAGTGTTCGAGTTTCCTTTTGGAGCATCGATCTTTTAAAAGGGGAGTTCAGGCCACGAACATTTAGAGATGTTATATCAATCATAATGGGTATCCTTGGTATGGTTAGTGAAGCAGTAGGTTTGTTGTTTGAGGCGTTGATCAGGGTTGGACGGGTATGGTTATAAGGAAATGGGTTTTATAGTCTGGGCAGCGTGGAAATGGCTTGATCGAAGAGTCAAAAGCTGTGTTCCATGTTCATTTGGAAGATTTAAGTGAGTTGGTGGAATATTTGGTCGACTGGTGCTGCAAAAGGTGAGGAAAATGGAAGGAGGTAAAAAAAGCTTGCGTAAAATGCAAGAAACATGAGTAGCTTGGTCTGCTACTTCAAACCTGGGGGGTATGAATGAGCATTGACCGTTGATAAGGTCACGCCAAACAATATCTTGTAACAAGAAACTTTTTCTAATTGGGCCGATCGCCATAGAGTCATAGAATGGGACGCAGTGGAGTAGTGCGTCAGAGGTGAGGAATTTGACGCGGACTGGAGGTATAATGTGTCAGAGTCAATCTGCTTCCATCTGTTGCGTATTCGCAGAGGTGGGCGTTTGTGGATCTGCGGGTAATATGTTCCATGTCTAAAGTAAATCCAGGCCCGCTTCTAGGCTTCTGATCATGTGAACTGTTCCCTGTTGTCTAACGGTTATTTTTGTGGGGAAGCCCCACTGGTAACCTATACCGTGGTTTCGTAAGGCTTTGGTGATGGTAATCATTTTCTTACGGTTAAGGAGGGTGGCCTTCGATAGGTCTGCGTAATATTTGCATGTGATGCTGGGAGTGAAGGGGGGTTTCTGGCTGCCATCATTATCCTTTCCTTTATGTGATAAAAATGGATACGAGCCAGGACATCCCTGGGGATTTATGCTGACAAGAATGACGGTTTGGGTATTCTGTGCGCCCGGTCTATGGCGAGCTCCATATCCGAGAGAGACGGAATGAGGTGTTTCATATATTGCTGGATGTAGGGAAGTAGTGCCTCATTTGTGATGTTTTCAGGAACACCCCTAAACTTAATGTTGTTGCACCTGAAACGATCCTCTAGATCCGCCAGTTTCAAATTTATTTGTTCGATGTCAGACGTATGGTCAGCATTGGCGTCAATCAAGTCGTTGTGGGCCACAATTATTTCTCCCATCTTTGTCTCAATATGGCACAATCTGTGATCTTGTTTTTGGATCACGGCAGTAATTTCAGTTATTGAAGCTGTTAGGTTGCTATGCAACGTCTGCCCGAGCGAAAGAAGCATGTTTTTCATGCATATTTCGGATATAGGCTGGTCAGACACAGGGAACGCTTCAATTTTTGGGAATTCAGAGCCAGATTGAGGGAATGGATGGATGAGGGTCTGGTATTCAGATTTGGTACCTGTGTCCACACGTGGTCTGGATTTAGCTGGGCTGCTGGTTGTGGGGGACAAGGGAGGAGAAGTCTCACCAGGGTCCCCTGGGTAGAGCGAGTATTGAAGCCTTGGGTCCGCCTGCTGGGATATGTCATCCTCCTGAGGAGATCTGTTTGCTCCGTTCCTGCTGCCAGCGCTATCTTGGATCCCTGCATTGACGGCAGGGAAGAAGCTTGTTAGTTTTCCTGGTTGCCCAGGCGGTTTGCGACAACAGGGCATCGCTGGGGAGGGTTGTACACCTCTTCCCTTGCTGGCTCGTATGTTTAAATGTCCCGGGGTCGGTGTGTGCCATGTCAGGTCAGGCGGGTGGACAGAGCATCTCTCACTACGCTTCCATCCAGGAGCCGGCCGCGCATGCGCCCCCCAGTGTTGCATTTTTGGTAGCAGGTTCTCCTTAGTGAGACACCAGGGGTCTAAAAGATCCCAATGTAAACAATTAGTATGGGTGGGAAGTGACACAGGTACCTAGAAGTGACATTTTACATGTTGCTTCCAGGTCATTAACAGGAAGGGGAGATCAGTAAATGGATGTTCACTGGTCTCTCTCCCCTCTATCTGACGGCACCCTCGATGCCATTCCTAAGTGTGCAGAATCCTGTAAAAAAAATTTTACCTTTTACTATCATCATGTCCTGTAAAAATTTTTTAAAAAAATCTAATTTCTTTATAAATTTTTATTCCAAAATGTATTCTGCTACATGTCTTTACTGCTAAAAAAAAAAATAACAATACGCGTAAATGAATTGGTTTACATGAAGGTTATAGCGTTTAAAAATGGTGGAATAGATGCTGGAATTTTTGTTTTTCTACTAGTAATTGCGGGACTGTGGCGGAAATTCTGACACTGGGGGGGGCACTTTGGTGTCACTGACATCCCCAGTGACACCAATACAGTGATCAGTGCTAAAAAAAAAAAAAGCTAAAAAAAACTAATGGCACTGGGCAGGAAGGGGTTAATATGTGGGGCACTCAAAGGGTTAATTGTGCGCTGGGAGTTTTTATACTATTCACTGTAAGGGAGGAGAACTGTTAGTAAACAAAACAGTCCTCCTCCCCTTCAGAGATGCTCTGTAATCACCGGGCGCCAACGGGTAATCACCGGCCGGGACCCGGTGATTGACACCCAAAGCCGCAAATGGCGGAGTGAGAAGGGCACGTGCGCGCCCCCTACCAGGAAATGCAAAATCACATTTATATACGTGATTTTGCTCACCCCTGCTGCCCTGTAGCAGTATATCTGGTATAGGGCGGAGGGTAAGCAATTAAAGTGTATACAATATAACCCAGTACTCCACTCTCAAAATAGAAATAAACAGTCAGTGCTTTTGAGCTCATGATTGCTGATATACACATTTGTCCATCTGTATGTATATACACTCTACTTTCAAATTAAAGATAAACATAGAAGAGTATATTATTACACATACTTTACATTTTTGAACGCTTTTTAAGTATATGTGCTCATTTATTTTCAATTTGCCATTTATTCCAACTCATATCAACCACTAAAAGGTGTATGTCTATTTACTGGTTGTAACCCACAGCCAGGTGAAAAGTATTTTACACATTTGGGAGGAAAAGAGAAAAGCTTGCATACTATCAGATTCTTAAAACTTTTTTATTATTAAAATCAATCCAGAAAACTCCTGGGCAGGGCTTGGATATTATGTCTCTACACACGCCGGTGTTGGCACTCGTGGGAAGGAATCGTGGTTGAGGCAAGCCCCGGATCTATGTTTATGCTAGTATACATTTCGATGTGTCTCCACTAACACAAGTGAGTTTTCTAGATTGATTTCGATAAGAAATGTTTTAACCACTTCCTGTCCGGACACTTTTACCCCCTTCCTGACCAGGGCAATTTTCAGCTTTTAGCGCTATCACACTTTGAATGACAATTGCGCGGTCATGCAACACTGTACCCAAATGAATTTTTTGCCATTTTTTTGAGACAGATAAAGCATTATTTTGGTGGTATTTATTCACCACTGGGATTTGTATTTTTTTTGCTATGTAAATGAAATGTCCAAAAATTTTGAAAAAAAAAGTGTTTTTTTTATAAAATTTTGCAAATAAATAATATTTCATCATAAATCTTAGCCAAAATTTATTTCCGTTATCTTTTTAGTAAAAAAAAAAAAATCCAAATTAGTTTATAAGCAAAAATTATAATTTTTAAACATTTTTTTTTACATTTTTATTTTATTTTTTTATATTATTATTTTTTTTTTTTTTTTTTTTTTTTTTACATACTGTCACCCTAGCAGTACAGTGTCACCATGGTGACACTGTACTGCTTGTGGGGGGTGATGAAGATTTTTTTACTTTTTTTTTTTACACTGATTGCTTTTACACCCATATAGGATGTAAAAGCAATCATTTCTCTTTCTCTCTGTGTGCATTCTTGCACTCATTGAGAAGTACTGAGTGAGCTGTGATTGGTCACAGCTTGTCACATGGTACAAGGCTTTTGTGAATAGCCTTGTACCATGTGACCTCTGTGATCATTCACAGATTTCACACGTAGTAAGCAATGATGTCAGAAGTGACATCTTGCTTACTACTTTGCATGTGATCACTGATTGGCCAATCAGTGATCACATGATTGGGACCTCGTACAGAGGTCCCGTCCGACGATCGGTGTTTCACTGTGTCCGGAGGACACAGCGGGCACCGGATCGCGGTGCTGCGTGCTCCCAGGGAGAGCGCACAAGCAGGGTGCGGGGAGGCTGTTTATAGACGGCCACCCGACCCTGCAGTGCCACCGTCTGGCCGTTTATATACAACGGCCGGATGGGAAGTGGTTAAGGATCTTATACTATGCAAGCTTTTCTCATCTCCTCTCGAATATACAAATAGGTGTCTGTGAGATTAAGAATAATTAGTGCAGAGCAACACTATTCCCTCTCTCCTTCGCCATATATACATAGTTAGTCTGGCTGAAAAAAGACAAAAGTCCATCCAGTTCAACCATAAAAAAAGTAATAATCCTATACCCACAGTTGATCCAGAGGAAGGCAAAAAAACCCAGCTAAGCATGATCCAATTTGCTCCTGCAGGGGAAAAAATTCCTTCCTGATCCCCGAGAGGCAATCGGATATTCCCTGGATCAACTTTACCTTTAAATGTTAGTATCCAGTTATATTCTGTGTATCTAAGAAAGAATCCAGGACTTTAATAAAGCAATCCACTGAACTGGCCAGAACCAACTCTTGAGGGAGTCTATTCCACATTTTTACAGCTCTCACTGTGAAGAAACCTTTCCAAGTTGGGAAATTAAATTTCTTTTCCTCCAGACGTAAAGAGTGCCCCCTTGTCCTCTGTGATGACCTCAGGGTGAATAACTCTACACCGAGTTCACTATATGAACCACTGATGTATTTATACATGTTGATCATATCCCCCCTTAATCTCCTCTTCTCAAGAGAGAATAAATTCAGTTCCTCTAATCTTTCCTCATAGCTGAGCTCCTCCATGCCTCGTATCAGTTTGGTTGCCCTTCTCTGTACTTTCTCCAGTTCCCCAATATTCTTTTTGTGAATTGGTGCCCAAAATTGAAGTGCATATTCCAAATGAGGTCTTACTAATGATTTGTATCGGAGTAATATGATATCTCTCTCTTGAATCTATTCCTCTTTTAATACAAGAGAGGATTTTGCTCGCTTTAGAAACTGCAGCTTGGCATTGCATGCCATTATTAAGCTTGTGATCTACCAGAACCCCCAGATCCTTCTCCACCATTGATTCCCCCAATTGTACCCCCCCTAGTATGTATGATGCATGCATAACCTTACATTTATCAATATTAAACCTCATTTGCTACATAGTTGCCCAATTAAATAGTGCATTGAGGTCGGTTTGTAAGTTGAAGACATCCTGTAAGGACGTTATTCCACTGCACAGCTTGGTGTCATCTGCAAAGACTGAAATGGGATTTTTAATCCCAGACCCTATATTGTTTATAAATATACTAAAAAGTAAGGGTCCCAACACTGAACCTTGGGGTACACCACTGACAACCCTAGACCATTCCGAGTATGAATCATTAACCACTACTCTCTGAATACGATCTTTTAGCCAGTTTTCTATGCATTTACATACAGATATTTTCAAGCCCATAGACTTTACCTTAAACATTACCAATGTGTGGGGAACTGTGTCAAACTATTTTGCTAAATCCAAGTATACCACGTCCACTGCCACCCCTCTGTCCAAGGATTTGCTCACCTCCTCATAAAGAAATCAGATTTGTTTTACAACTTCTGTCTTTCATGAATCCATGGTGTATGTTGCTTAAAATATTTTTTTCCAGCAAAGAACTCATCTATGTGGTCTTTTTTTAAACTCTCCAGTATCTTCCCAACTATAGAAGATAAACGAACAGGTCTATAATTACTTGGTAAAGATTTTTGACCCCTTTTTAAATATTGGCACCACATTGGCCAATCCAGTGGTACTATGCCATTCATTAAAGAGTTCCTAAAAATTAGAAACAATGGCTATGAAATGACAGAGCTCAATTCTTTAAGGACCCGTGGGTGTATGCCATCCAATCCAGGTGCTTTATTCACCTTTATTCTGTCTAAATATTTCTGGATCATATCAATTGTGAGCCAATGTGGATCATCTGGGGCTGTGTCAATACCATGCCCATTATGGACAAGAGCCCCCCCATGCTCCTTTGTATACACAGAGCTGAAGAAGGTATTTAATAAATTTGCCTTCTCTTTGTCCCCAGTCACCCACTCTAGATTATTTTGTAAAGGGCCTACATGCTCGGACCGAACCTTTATACTATTAATATATTTGAAGAATTTTTGGGGGTTTGTCCTGCTACCTTTTGCAATCTGTGGTTTGTTTTAAATTTTTGCGGCCTTTATTTCCTTTTTGTATATTCTGTTTTATCCTTTGCAATATTTAAACGATGACAGCGTTCCTTAATTTTTTTTATTTAATAAAATCTCTTTACTTATTATCTATAGCTTTTTTAACTTTGGCCATAAGCTACATAGGTTTGATTTTTAGCCTTTAAAACTTGTTGCCCATGGGAATATATTTTGCAGTGTGTTCACATACAGTCTTTTTGAAGAACTCCCATTTCTATGTTGTGTTCATCAATGCCAATATTCCCACCCAGTCTAAGTCTTGGAGAGCATCTCTAAGCCTTGAAAAATTAGCTATATTAAAGTTTAATGTTTGTATTTTTCCCGTATGTGCTTGTTGTTTATGACTAACGATAATGAAATCACATCATGGCCAATACTACCCAGATGTTCTTTTATATGGACATTCATAATAAGCTCTGCGTGGGTTGAGATTACCAGGTCCAGCAGAGCATCATTCCTAGTTGGGACCTCTATGAACTGTACCATAAAATTGACATATAGTAGGTTTATAAATTTGCCCTTTAACTATTCCTGCAGTACCATTACTCCAGTCAATTTCCGGGTGGTTAAATCCCCCATTATTATCTATAGGGAGGCCTATAACAAACTCCAATTGTATCTTTGTACCACTCACCACCCCCCCATGTGCAGTTCTACCCCTAATGCTTCAGCCTCATCACACTGTCCATAAACTAGGCCGTCTTTCACAAATATACATGTATACAAATGTAAAGTTATATGTTTCAAACTATAAAAAACAAAATTAAAATAAAAGTCCAATCCAAAACAGAAACGTTTAAAAGAATCACCACAAAGTATTTGATTTGCAGTTTCTGGGTCCCCCTGCCCAGGGAATACCCTCAGGCAACTGAGTGAAGAGGAGGATTAATCTGGGGTCTGAGGATGTATACCAGAGAGCTGGAATGCTTTTAAAAGGAGATACTATTTATGCCTACAGTCTTGTACATAGTTGCTAAGAAATGTGTCCTCAAAGTTCACAGTTCCCTTGGGCATTCCATACATCTCTCAACCCCATCCAAGTTATCAACCCCTAAGAAAATCACAAAACCAAGTTCCAGGACTGTTTACTGTCTCTGAGTTCAAGGTATGGAAGAAAATGCATGTTGCCTGGCTGTGCAGAGCTTTAGGGGATCCAAAGAAACGTAGCGACTCCTAAGGGGGTAGTGCTACATATACAGTACAAATACTTAGGTATATAATACTTATATATTACGTTAGAATGCTTTGCACAATGGCAGCTTGATATATGTAGAGATATTAAGTCATAGGATGCATAGAATGAGGTTGAAGTTTACACATTTTTATGAGATTTTGTAGCACTGATATCCAGATAAATTACACACTGTAATGCAGCGTTGCCTTTTGATAGCTTTATATTCTAGGTTAGTCTGTATTGTAACAGGACAGCAGAAGCATTTTAATTCAATTTGAATTTAATATAATAGAGCTTGGTTAATTGTCAATTGGTGTGTTTATACCTAGGCGTGCTGTAGCACAGTTCAAAAGGTCTCTGAATTTTATGTGTGCATTTATTCGTTCTTGCAGTGATTTTATTTACACCTGGGGCTGAAGTTTTTCTTGGAGTCGAGGCGCAGAGCAGAGAACCCAAAATTGCCATGTGGCTCCTTCAAGAGTGGAGTGGTTAGGATATACTGTATAACTGCCCCAGAAATATTATCTCAGTCAGTCCTGTTATACTCACTGTAATTCCTCAATCCGACTTGTTGTCAGTGCTGCCATCAGATCCCTGAAATGAGGACCCTCCAAATTGTTCTCAGACAGGCTCAGTGTCTTTAGCGTCTGATTATTTCTTATTCCAGATGCCAGGTGGAGGCAGGAACTGTCTCTTAGGTGATTTCTATCCAATCTGTAGAGGAAGAAAAGAATGTTACCAGAAGAAAATATATTTTTTTCCCCCAGGAATGAATGTAACTAGTTCATACATTGGGGGTAGGAAAACTTTGAGATCTACCTGAACAACATGAAAAGCAAAGATCACTGGGATTCGGTGCCCTTTTTATTTTTTTTTTCTATTAACTAGAAAGGCCTAACTAAATGGTAAGGAACACATTTCGAAAAATATATTAAAACGAATGTCACTGTAAAAATATAAAAACTTAGTCTACGTTGAAAGTAAACAGTGTCAGTCAGTAGGACAGTGAACAGTGTCAGTCAGTAGGACAGTGAACAGTGTCAGCAGAACAGTGGACAATGTCAGTATTGCAGAAGATGGTGTCAACAGAGCAGTGGAAGGTGTCAGTAGGGCAGGAGGATGGTGTCAGTAGGGCAGGAGGATGGTGTCAGTAGGGCAGGAGGATGGTGTCAGTAGGGCAGGAGGATGGTGTCAGTAGGGCAGGAGGATAGTGTCAGTAGGGCAGGAGGATGGTGTCAGTAGGGCAGGAGGATGGTGTCAGTAGGGCAGGAGAATGGTGTCAGTGGGGCAGGAGGATGGTGTCAGTAGGGCAGGAGGATGGTGTCAGTAGGGCAGGAGGATGGTGTCATTACAGCAGTGGATAATATCAGTAAGGCAGAGGTTATTAGTAGAGCATTTGACTGTGTTAGTAGTTTTACTCTTTTTCAATTTTTTTTAAACCATGTTGGGGGCTTTGGTGAAATATCAGGGGTCTAAACAGACTCCTGATGTCTCATTTTTAAGACTGAGAAAGTGATTTAGAACACAGCCCTCAATCTCTATCTCTGCAGCCTCAGCTGCATATAATGAATGAACAGGAACAGTTCTGCACTCTCACTGCTTATTCACAAACTGGAGCATAGTAAACACAGTTTACTATCCTTCAGGTTTGAATGAACACAGTAAGTTATCAGAACCTATCACTCACTGTGTTGATTCAGGAAAGGAAGAGGCCGCTAAATGACAGTTACCAGTCCCTTCCCCTGCTCTCCATCCTGAAATGGATGGGAGCTGGCAGTGCTGCAGGAGGGCCAGGCAAACATACAGGAGGGTGGCAGGGAAAGCATGCACTGGAACTGGACTGTTAGTTTTCCTCCTGCAGCAGCTGAATGCCAGCGGGTGGGGGAGCAGAAAAAGCTGGCTTTAAGCTGCTACAGGGGGGAACTACAGGGAATTAGTTCCACTAAATGCTGCCCCCACCATCCCTCCTATCCAGGTTTCGGGAAGTTGGCAAGGAAGGGACATGGATTCACCCGTTGCCTGCCCCTGATAGATGGGTAGATCATGATGGATGGGTTGCCGAACCCCCCCCCCACTTTGCCTGAATAGTACTATGTTCTCTTTGTTGGAATCATTTAGATTGGATCACTTTATAAAAATCCAGTAAATAGAATTTTATAAGAAAAATATCATATCAGATACCCCAATATTGTCATCCATGTGTAGAGACGATGATATCTCCGTACACAGTATGACCACAGAACACCACTGACATGACTCATATTGTGCTTTATAATCTCCCTTTATATGGAGCATGAATCATATCAGCAAACAGTGTGAGATCAGAATCAGCATTGTTGGTGATTGGATGGGATTATTTTTATCTGATTTTCTATTTCTCTCTGATAAGAGCTCTGTACTCAAAGGAAGTAATGGGGAGACCCCCTGACACTGAATAGCAGATGGTCATGGCAGGTAACAAAAAGATCTTATGAGGCTCTGAATGACCACTGCAGTAAGATCAGATTTTCCCTGGAATTACCTATTATAATCTAAACTATTTTACTAGTTAACAGGTAGAACTGAAAATCAGATTTTAGCAATGTTTTATGTAATGACTGACTATTTCAACAGTCTTGGATTGTCTACTTTATCATATTTATATACTGTATTATGTATGTGTTTTAGATATAAAACTGTCCCAGAATATTATTGTCTCAGTCAGTCCTATTATACTTACATTAATTCCTCTATCCGGCTTGTTGTCAGAGCTGCCATCAGATCACTGAAATGAGGACCCTCCAGATTGTTCCCAGACAGGTCCAGTGTCCTCAGTGTCTGGTTATTTCTTATTCCAGATGCCAGGTGGAGGCAGGAACTGTCTGTCAGGTGATTTCTATCCAATCTGTAGAAGAGAAGAATGTTACCAGGAAAAAAAAAAAATTCTCCCCCAGAAATGAATGTATCTATTCTCTACATGAATGGAATTAATTTATCTTTATTGGAATCATTTATATTAGACCACTTTATAAAACTCCAGTAAATAAAATTTAAGAAACATGTTATAATGGAGTAGACACCGCAATATTGTCATCCATGTGTAGAGATGGTGGTGATATCTCCATACATAATGTGACCACAGAATACCACTGACATGACTCATATTGTGCTATAATCTCCTTGAATATGCAGCATTAATCATATCAGTAGACCGTGTGAGGCCGAAATCACCATTGCCAGTGGATGAGATGATTTATATATAATATTCTATTTATCTCTGCTGATAAGGGCTCATAGGAATGTGGAGACCCCCCTAACACTTAATAGTAGATGTGTAGTAATGGGGAGATCCCCTGACACTGAATAGTATATGTGTAGTAATGGAGGGATCCCCTGACACTGAATAGTAGATGTGTAGTAATGGGGGGATCCCCTGACACTGGAATAGTAGATGTGCAGTAATGGGGAGATCCCCTGACACTGAATAGTAGATGTGTATTAATGGGGGGATCCCCCTGACACTGAATAGTAGATGTGTATTAATGGGGGGATCCCCCTGACACTGAATAGTAGATGTGTATTAATGGGGGGATCCCCCTGACACTGAATAGTAGATGTGTAGTAATGGGGGGATCCCCTGACGCTGAATAGTAGATGTGTAGTAATGGGGAGATCCCCTGACACTGAATAGTAGAGGTGTAGTAATGGGGAGATCCCCCGACACTGAATAGTAGATGTGTAGTAATGGGGAGATCCACCTGACACTGAATAGTAGATGTGTAGTAATAGGAAGATCCCTTGATACTGAATAGTAGATGTGTAGTAATGGGGAAATCCCTTGACACTGAATAGTAGATGTGTAGTAATGGCGGTGTGCCTGCAGTGTCAGTAGGTTTCTTCCTCCCCATCTCCCCAAGAGATGAAATGTGGAGCCCAAGTGCAGCACTGCAAGAGCATGTGCAGGGGCAGTGCTGTTGAAGATGGGTCCAATCCCACCATCAGCAAGCCACAAAAATCTATTTTGCAACTTTTAATATTAACCTATGTGTCAGTGGGGTACATCCCACCTAGATCATTGCCAGGCTATTTGTCTTGATACAATTGAGCTGTTCTCCACCAAAACATAGCTTATTAAAACAGAAATAATTAAGCACAACTCTTGTGTGTTCTGTGAGTGCCTAGCTAAACTGACTTTGGAGTACACACAAGCTATTTTTGTTTGATTGTACTGACCCTCACAAGCTAGGTGTTATGTTGTATGTTACATAGCACTGACACTTGCAGAGTATATGCTATGTTGTACATTACATACACCTGAACTTTGTTTGATATACTCTATGTAGTATGTGACAATGTAATAATGGTGCCTGACTTCATTTTCCAGCAGGACTTGGCACCTGCCCACACTGCCAAAACCACCAAAACCTGGTTCAATGACCGTGGGATTACTGTGCTTGATTGGCCAGCAAACTCGCCTGACCTGAACCCCATAGAGAATCTATGGGGCATTGCCAAGAGAAAGATGAGAGACATGAGACCGAACAATGCAGAAGAGCTGAAGGCCGCTATTGAAGCATCCTGGTCTTCCATAACACCTCAGCAGTGCCACAGGCTCATAGCTTCCATGCCACGCCGCATTGAGTCAGTAATTGCTGCAAAAGGGGCCCAAACCAAGTACTGAGCACATATGCATGCTTATACTTTTCAGAGGTCCGATATTGTTCTATGTACAATCCTTGTTTTATTGATTGCATGTAATATTCTAATTTTCTGATATTGTTGATTTGGGGTTTTCATGATCTGTAAGCCATAATCATAACAATTATGACAAATCACGGCTTGAACTATCTTGCTTTGCATGTAATGAGTCTATCTCATATATTAGTTTCACTTTTTAAGTTGCATTACTGAAATAAATTAACTTTTGCACGATATTCAAATTTTTCGAGTTTCACCTGTATGTGAAGGGACTGGGACCAGTAAGTCTCGAAACACAGTAATTTGGGGAGAGAAGTCATAGGAATCGCATTGATTCTACCGAACCATGAAAGCGGAAAGTGATTCCAGGAGGACCACATCTCTGTCAAATCCTTAAAAACAGCGAGGAAGTTAGCCTGTTATAGTCCTTTGTAAGCCGGGGTGAGCTTAATCCACAAATACGGCAAAGCTAAGAACCACTGAAAAGGGAACAAATGTTTCAGAGTCGCCAACGACAGTGAAAGGATAACCAACATGGCCTTAGAGACTTAGCAGGATTGACACCAAGGCCTGAAAGAGCAGCAAAAGAATCCAGGGCCACAAGTAGGTTTGGCAGGGTAACCCTCGGACTCGTAACTGACAATAATATATCATCAGCAAACAGGGATAACTTATGCTGAGAACCGGCAATATCCAGTCCCTTAATATTGGGATGGATACGGATAGCTTCTGCCAGGGGCTCCAAAGCCAAAGTAAATAATATGGAGGAGAGTGGGCAACCGTGTCTAGTACCCCTACCTACTGGGAACGCTGCAGACTCAAAACCAAAATATTTGAGTTTTGCTTGGGGGCATGTATATAGTGGTGAAATCCAATGCAAAGGGGCCGAAACCAAAATGGTGAAGGACCGACATAAGGTAAGGCCAGGATATAGTCTCAAAAACCTTGTTGATGTCCAAGGATAAAAGCATCATGTCAATTTTGCGAGTATGAGCCAGATGTTGTAACTGCAGAATTCGTCTGATGGCATCCCCCGCTTGTCTATGGGAGACAAAACCCACCTGGTCTTTCTTGATCAGACGAGAAAGAAAATAAATCAAATGAGTGGCTAAGATTTTAGTTAGGATTTTCATGTCGATGTTAATAAGATAAATTGGCTTGTAAATTTGCCCAAGAAGAATGGTCTCGATCAGATTTCGGGATTATAACCACATTAGCTGTCAGCGAGTCAAGGGAAAAAGCTGAACCTCCCTTCACCGCATTGAACATAGTGGCGAGGTGAGGAGCAAGCACATCAGCTAGTTTCTTACAATACAAAGCCGTGTATCCATCTGGGCCTGGGCGTTTGCTCGTCTTCAAAACCGCAATGCAATACAGGACTTCTGATGTTTGAATATCACAGTCCATCAAGTCTTTATGGGCCTGAGTCAAAGTAGGCAAGGACAGGCAGGACAAGAAGTCAGAAATAGCTTGGGGGATCAGCCTGCATGGGGTCTGTATAAAGTTTAGCAAGGCAATACCGAAATTCCTCCAGCACCGCTACAGGATTACTAGTTAGAACATTATGTTGAGTGCGTAGAGAGATCGGCTTAGGGTGATGTGTAAAAGAGCGCAATCTACGTGCCAACATGGAATCCGGTTTATTTGCCTTACTGTACCACTTCTGACACATCCAAAGCAAAGAGCGCTCGGCATCATCTGTCAAACAAAGATCCAATTCCAGGCAAGCTTGATCCAACAACCTACTGTTAGAAGGGGTCGGTGCTTGCTTAAATTGGGCCAATGCAGAAGCTAGCTTTGATTCAAGCTGATGCTGTTTATATTGCCTCTCTCTCTTCCCTTTCGAAGCTACTTGAATAATATGTCCCCAAAGGACAGCCTTGTAAGCTTCCCATAGCGTCACCGAAGAAGAGACAGAACCCGAGTTAAGCTGAAAATATTCATTGGATTTGCGCAAGAGTTCTGCCTGAACCTCATTCAGTGAAAGCAGGGAGTCGTTCATAATCCATGAGGAATAGGTAGGCTTACAGAGGAGAGGTTGACAAACCACCAAAATGGGGTTGTGATCAGACCACGGTACCGTAAGAATAGAAATGGAACGCACAAGAGGGAGATGTTTACGTAGCACAAAAGCATGGTCATTTCTAGAGTGGGAATGATGAGGATGAGAATGAGTGTAGTCTTTTCCCCTAGGGTGGAGCTCATGCCATAAGTCTACCAAGTCATGGGTTCACAAAGTATGGGCAAAAGATTTAGCTGCAGTGGAAGGATTAGAGTCCTCCTCGGGGTTCTTATCAAGGGTTGGATTTAAAACTAAATTGGAATCCCCCGCCACCAAGAGAGTACCCCGTTGATGGATTGCCAGAAGGGAGCAGATATGTGATTAAAAGGGTCCTGGATTGACATTAGGAGCATAATAGGTCAAAAATGTGACGTCAACATCCTGAATCGTGCCCTAAAGAAAAAGAAATCTACCACTTGGGTCAGCAATACACTTCACGCAGACAAATGGGGTTTTCTTGTGAAAGGCAATAAGGACTCCCCTTTGTTTAGTAGGGCCAGTAGCCTGAAAAACCTGAGGATAGCGTGCATAAAAATATTTTGGGCTAGAGCTGGTTGAGAAGTGAGTTTCCTGCAGACAAGCAATATCCACATGGTGAGCCGAGAGAAAACTTGAATATCTTCACCCATTTCTGAGGGGAATTAATTCCCTGAACATTCAGGGATAGCCAATTCAGCGACATGGTAACCAAAAAGGAAGAAGATAGTCTCCGTCACGATCCCCGGGAACTCTGAATAAAAGTTGGTGAAAACACAAAATACATGACAAGAAACCAAGAAAAGGAAAAAAAGGCAAGAAACAATATAAAAAGAATATACATTTGACACAGTAATGTTAGTGCAAATATCACAGTAACCTACTGTGGGGGATAAACCCACAAAAAGGCTGAGTAGTGGGCAGGATAACGATCCAGTCCACACATCAGCTCAAAGGGGGAAACAGTAGTCCACCAGAACCACTCGGCTTAGCTAAAACAAAAAAAATAGTTAGCAAACAACTTAGAGTAATAAACTCCACAATCAGGTGATCAACAAGTAGCTAATATGGCTATAGGAGGAACAGTCTTCTAGGAACTCAAAGGTGGGGAAACTCCCTGATAACTATAGGCGTGAATCCACTCACAAGCCAGCCTAGTAAACTAAGGCACACCCACAGCAGGAGATCCACATTCAGTTCTTCTCACCATCAGCAGCATGCAAAAGAGAATCTAAACAGGACTGACACAACTACTGAGGTGTAGACCACAGCAAAGGAAGTGATACAATACATAACTAAGCAGGAGCATCTATGGGCAGTGTAGCCCACACCTCACAAAATGGGAAAATGTGAAGACCCAACTGGATACAGAATGTCAGCTCGCAGAGACTTCCTGGAAACGCTGAGCCTGAAGAGAACGAAGAGCTTGAGAGCTGCCTTGACTCGAAGGAGGTGACTTGCGTGAAGGCTGGGAGCCTCGCAGACAAGCATGGACCGTAGCCTCCTCAGTCTGGGAATACAGCAGTTCCAATTTCACTTCCTGAAAATGGCGACGAAGATCCGCAGGGGACGAAGTCTGGAACTGACAACCTTGATAGGAGAAATAGAGCTTGAACGGGAAGCCCCATCTGTATTTGATATCAGCAGACTGTAAAATTTGAAGGTAGGGCCTAAGGGTACAACGTTTTGCATTCGTAACAAATCGGCAAACAACTGGAGAGAGTTACCCTGAAATTCCGAGCCACCTATAGTAGGCGCTCTTTAGTGCGGTAAAAGTGCAACTTAATAATGTCCCTGGGAGGGCCCTCTGTGGGTTTAGGGGCTAAAGCTCTGTAGATACAATCAAATTCCAGTCTTTCCAGGGGGATCTCAGGAGCCAGTTCTTGAAAAAGGCTGTAACGGTGCCCTGTAAGTCAGTAATCACTTCCGGAACCCCGTGGATGCGGAGATTGTCTCTACGGGCCCCATTCTCAACAACTTCCAATTATCCTTTAAAGTGTCCAGCTCAGCATGCAAGTCCTCCATCTCTTGTTCATGGCCCTCTAAAACCGTAGTCGCCAGAACCATACGTTGTTCTAGTTGGTGAGCACAATATCCCAATTCCTTAAGACCCTTTACCAGATCAGAGGATAATTTGCGAGAGGCGATTGTAATCTCCTCCCACACAATGGAACGGAATTTGAGTAATGAGGCTTCAGGATTGTGATCAAAAGAACTGGTTAGAACAGAGGGAAAATGGTGCTGACTGTCCTGTGAGCCGCGTAGTGTCTTCGGGCTCAGGAGGGCTGGGCGCCATCTTATCGGGCTGCCGGAGTAGGGAACCTTTCCGATATTTAGGCTTGGAGCGTGGGGTGCGATGCATTTTCGGGTGTGGGCCAAGTGTTCTGCAAGCCCCTCCAACCCTTGGTATCAATATGTGGGGGTGTAAGAGCCCGATATGCCGAGGTAGTTGTTCTGGTGGTGCGGAACAGGGAGATTAAGTAGACATCGACCCTAGCTACGCACATGCGTCCCCCACAGGGGGATCTATTTACATAGGAGCAATCTACATGGGACAACCTATGCATCCCGCCTTATGCTTCAAAATGTCGAAAAAATTACTACAATGGGGGGGGGGGGTAGGGTGCTGGACACAGACCGTCCCAATGAACCTCTGGGCTAGATCAATTTTCCTCTTCCCCGGGGAGAGCACCTTCAGACACCGGCCTCAGCAATGATTTAGGCCCCAGCACAGGGATAGGGGCAACACAGGGCTCTACACTCCCCCAGGTAGCAGCTCACCTGCCCAGAATCCAAGCTACATCCGGGCGCTGTACAGGCCGGGTTTGGGCCTCGTGTAGGCCACAGTAAGCCTCAATCCTCTGGGTCTGTGGATGGATGGGACAGACTGGGGCCGGATCCCCCCTCCGTTCAGCAGCAGAGGTCCGTGAGGATCCGCGGTGCCAGCGGAATCCAAGCGGCTGGCCGTCGGGTCCGGATACAGTGTAGGCCAGGACAAGGGCCTCGCATGGGCTGTGATCCGCCGGGACCAATCTGGTCCAAATCCTCTCGCCGGGCAGCAGCTATCTATAGGGGTCCGCGATGGGAGCGGGACCCCTCTAATCGAAGGAAGGAGGCACATTCTAGGGAGAGGCAGCGGAGCTCTCTCCCCACACATCTGCTCCAGTTGCCATGTTGGACACACAATTTGTTGTACATTGAAATGGTGGTGAAGGAATAAAGCACCTGTCAGGTTTTTATTGCTGTCTGCACCATCAGGAGATTACCATCATCATTAAAATTGAGAGTGAAAGAAAACCCCAACTTTTGGATGGTCACCAGAACAGGAACAGAGGGGTACATTTTCAAATGGAGACACTAGTTCTGGTGACAGCCAAGGATTCCCTTCCTGTTTTGGCTATGAGACAGCATTTGGGAAATCTCTCCAATAGGACACAAATGGCAAAAAAAAAACCTGACAGGGGTTATAACACTCCCTTACTCTATCTAAAAAAAAAGATTTACCTTTAGTTCTACATTAAGTCTTATTTGATGTATTTACATAAATATGTACATTCTGCATATAATACAAAACAGATCACACTAATAGTAAATTAAAATGTTAGGCAATACTGCAATGTGATTAATCATATTTAAAATGTACCTCATGATCTTGATGTTGTGCAGAGCTGGTATAAATTTTCTCAATCCTTCACCTGGAATATTACATGTACTTAGATTTACTTCTTCTGTCTCTCTGCAGGTTTGAAGGATAAAAGATAGCACAGAGCAGTCCAGTGGGCTGAGAGGGACATCAGAAAAGTCAACTTTGTTTGCTCCAATACATTGTGACACCAGAGCCTTATTCCTGCTCTCATGGAGATAGTAATATATACCACAAAAAGCTCTTTCTTGTCTCCTATGGATTTGTCAGATCTTTGTTTTGCAATTTTCTTCTGAATCCAGGTGATGACATGCCTGGCAGCTTGCATAGACAATTCTCTTACATGAGACTTTAACATGGATCTAGTAGTAAAGTCTGAGAGACCACAGAGGAAGCGGAGGAATATTTCAGCATGGCCATCTTTGTAAGATTCAGCATCATCAAGTGTTTCCTGTAATTTGTCAGCATCATAGTTAATAAAATGGACTAACGCAGCAAAAAACTCCTGAAGAGTGAGATGTAGGAAGGTGTAATCCACATCAGGAGGCTGACCAGATTCTATCATGAAGGATGAAAATAGATGTTTATCATTTCTCACACTGAATGAGTCCAGATGACGCTCATCAAATACAATCATATGATTCATGACTCCATGTTCTGCCATCCACCCAATAGACGTCAGCAGTTCCTGGGAAGTGTGACTACCATCTTTATTCTGGCTATGATTGGCCAGAATGTTGGAGACAAAAGTCACAAAGAGTTGTGTCACTGTTTTGGGCAATGATGTCATCAACTGATCAGAATTTGTTGGTTGGGCTCTGAAGAACATTGATAACACTGTACAGATGATCCAGCAGTATGATGGGATATAACAGAAAGTGTACAGTGTGTCATTCTCCTGCACATAATGAAAAGCTCTTTCTGACAATTCCTCATTTCCAAAGAAATTTTTAAAGAAGGTCAGTCTGTCTGCATGGAGAAATCCCATGATTTCAACTATTCTCTGGAAAACACCAGTATCAACTGATGCCAGTCTGGTTGGGCGGCTGGTTATCAGCACCGAGCAACCCTTAAGAAGACTCTGCCCCACCAAAACTGACCACAATCTCTCCAAAATGTGTTCTCTGTTTTGGATTAGACAATTTACTTGATCTGAAATCCATTTGACGAACACTCTCATCTAAGCCATCAAATATAAACAGAAGTATCTTTGGATCTTGTGAAATGTCTCCAATCTGATCCCCAGATGTGGATATTGTTGAAGAATCATCTCTTCCAAGTTGACTTCTCCCAATTTATTAAGGTCCCGGAATCTGAAGAAGAAGACAAAAGCAAATCTCTGGTAGTGTTTTTCAGTCACCCAGTCATAGACAAACTTCTGCATCAATGTGGTCTTCCCTATTCCTGGCACTCCGCTCACCATTACTGCATGTGGTACACCTAGTGACTGGTGGCTCCATCGGAACAGCCTGTTAGGGGAAATGTGTTCCAGCCCAGTCTGTGTTTTATTCAAGCATTCCTCGTGTTTTACCCCAGTCTGTATTAGCTCATTCTGGGCACGCTGCCTAAACTCATCAGTTGAGACTACAATCAGGTTCACATAACGTTCATTGATGAGGAATCTTTGTGGTTCCAGAGTGGTTCCTGGTGGTCTGTGCTCCACTAGATTCTCAGTCTTCTGCAGCAGATGCTGTTTATGCTTTTTCTGAATATCTGGGAATATAATGAATAGGATTAATGGCTCAGGTTAAAGCAGAAGCTGAAAATGTTGATATTATTAACTTTATGAACATTATAGAAGTTATCATTACTAAATTTTAAATGCTGTTGATACGGGTTACTATGTGTGGTCATCCAACATCCAGTTTTTACTTGAGACTTTTTTCTACAAAATGCATATTTCTCCACATTTTATCCTTTTAAAGACTCTGCAATTAAATGAAAAATACCCATTGGTCCTGCCAGAAATACACTTGTGTCCTGGTTTCCTCCTGTGGCAGAAAACATAGTGCCTTTTCTGAACAAAATAGCAAGAATTATATTGTCAGCCCTGCCCAGTTTTGTTTTCTTACACTTTACTAAAAAATATATTCCCTTTATCTTATCTCTCAACATAATAGGAAGGTTTTTTTATGGTCCAAAAAGAGCTGGGAGGACTGATTTTGAAGTAACACAAGCAAGGTGCATATGACACTCACAGGATCAACTAGTACTTTTGCACTTCAAAGAGCTTTCAATTATATTTTTAAAAGACCAAAAAGGAACAAAAAGAAGTTCATTGTTAGGTATTACATACAAATTAAAGTGACCCTGTCCTTAACTCAGAGAATAGGTTTCCCAAGTTGTCTTCCAGGATAGTCCACGTAGAGCTCCTCCCACGGGACAGGAAACCCGTTACCCCACAGACAATAAAAGGCGGTAAGCCAGGCTCCAGCTTCAGTTATTAGTGTTTCCTCTGAACAGGGGTAACATGTTTCCTGGAACCATGTGGAAAAGGTGGGGGAGGGGAGTGTTTCACTTAGGATTCCCTGTCTTCTAGCCCTGCAGCACTCTCCTCTAGGGGCATTTGGAAATTTGACTGCAACAGTCTGACCCTTCCCAGGGCCCCAGGAGGGCCAGAACAGTGGTGGTATCCGTTGACAAGTAGTCCCCCTGCCTGTGGAGGAGGATAGGTGTTCTCTGTGGCCTTACTTGGCGTTTGAAGACCGCATCTTGGTGGAGTTTGGCGACTCCATTCCGCTCCTGCCCAGGCTTCCTTGTGCAGCGAGGGCTCTGCGTTCCAAACTAGATCTGGAAGCTGTAGTGACATCACTTTTGGCGCAGCGTGACGTCATTACTGGGCGCTGGGACACTGGTTCCTGGTGCAGGGTGGATTGTTCGGGAAGCTGGAATGGAGAGACCTGTGGCTTTGGATCCTTCCACGGCTGCAATTCTGGTGGTTGATTCTAGGCAAGCAAGCACCAGCTCCTCACAGGTAAAAACAATGGGGAGGGCTCCCAGTTGTATGCCTGTGTAGGTTTTATCCTGTCACATACAGCTCTTTGGGTGTTAGACTTTTTCTGATAAAGCACATTTCTTCCTTTTTTGCTAGAGCACAGGGTGTGTTATCTAGTAAGATTTATGGGGGCTCAGAGTCCTTTTCTTTTCTGCTGTTATTTTGCAGACTAAAGCTCAGGACAAGGGTCCAGACTCTGGCCCCAATAGAAGAAAATATGCAGTTTGTGCAGCCAAACTGGGATCTACGTGGAGCAAGCCCTTGTACCAGTCCTGTATTATTAGTCCTGTCAAGGAGGACTCTACCTCAGCTTGTGTCAAATTGCTGTCGTCAGTAAAGAAAGTGTTGGTAACCACGTTCAGTTCCTTCAAGACTCTGTTGGAAGATTTTAAAAATCCTACCCCACCTCCTCCTTTCTCAGAGAAGCCAACTCTTCCACAGTCATCTGTTAAATTCATGCAGGAGGTCCTATATAGAGCTTCAGGGTTGAACTCCCCATCATCTTTGGAAAGCGAGGATAGGGGAAGTTCTTCAGAGGAGGAGGAGGGAGAGATCTCGGGTGCTAGGACATCGAGGTACAAGCTCTCTCTGGATGAAGTAAATGACTTGCCGAAAGCCATTTACGAAACGTTAGAAATAGAAGAAGACAGGGTCCAGCTCTCCAGACATGACAATGTACTTTGTCTTCAGGGTAAAAAGCAGAGGGTTTTTCCTGTCCATAAATCCCTGAACGAAGCTACTGAATTGGAATGGAAGGAGCAAGGGTGCAAGCCTTTTTTTTTCTCCAACAGCCTCAAAAGAAGATTCCCCTTTGAGGAAGGGATTGAGCATCCCTGGAATAAGGAGCCTAAATTGGATGCACCCTTATCAAATGTTTCCAAAAGATCGGACCTTGCATTCAAGGACATGGGAGTCCTTAAGGACGCTATGGACAACAAAGGGGAGGTCTTTCTAAAAAAAAAGGGCTTGGGATTCTACTGTTAAGAGTCTCAAACCAGCCCTTGCTTCTACCTATGTAGCCAGAAACCTGGACTTCTGGCTGTCTCAGCTGAAGTCTCACTTAAGTGGTAGCACATCCAGAGAAGAGATTTTAAAATCTTTCCCTCTGCTCTTTAAAGTGGTTGGGTTTCTGGCAAAATCTTCTGTGGAAGCAGTAAGAATGGCAGCTAGATCATCAGCTCTGGCAAATTCCGCTAGGAGATCACTTTGGCTTGAAACTTGGCCCGGTGATTCCGCCTCCAAGGCTCAGTTGTGTGCCCAGAGCTTTATGGGAGATAACCTGTTTGGTCCTAGTTTTCAGGAGGCACTAGAGCGCATGGCTTGTAAGAAGGCTTTTCCAGAAAAGAAGAGAATGCTGGGTTTTAAGCGACTTTTTCATGGCCAAAGGCAGCAAGCCGAACAAGGCAAAGAGGCCAAGCCAAGGAAACAAAGGTAAGGGTAAAAGGAGGAATCTTGTTCAACCCTCCTCTAAAACCCAATTACTTCTTTCTCCCAGTGGGAAGATTGGAGGCCTTCCTCCCAGCTTGGGAGTCTATCACCTGCAGTCCATTTATTCTTCTTCTGATAAATGAGAATTACAGGCTGGAGTTCGATACCTTGCCCCACAAAAGATTATTGATCACGAATCTTCCTCAGGATTAGGAGAAAGCAAGTGCATTGTGCTTGCAAATAGAAGAGATGGTAGATCAGAGGGTTTTGGTCACAGTGCCGAGGGAAAAGAGGGGTCAGGATTTTTATTCTCACGTTTTCGTGGTGAAAAAAAACCCTCAAGCAAATTTCTGCCCGATCCTGAATTTGCGACCACTCAGCAAGTCGATAAAAGTACAAACATTTTCGTATGGAGTCAATATACTCTCTCAGGAACATCTTGCAGCAGGGTTGTTTTATGGTGACCCTAGATCTGAGAGATGCATACCTTCATGTACCCATTCATCCCTCTTATCAAAAGTACATGAGAATGGCCATCAGGTTGAAGGAGAAGGTTCTGCACTGGCAGTTTAGAGCACTCCCTTTCGGGCTATCTTCAGCCCCATGGATTTTTTTCAAAGTCCTGGGAGAAGCTCTGGCTCCACTGAGATTAAGAGGCATTTTAATAGTTTCTTATGTAGATGATCTCCTGTTAGCAGCTCCATCCGAAGAGCAGTTGCGGATGGATCTAAAGTTTACCCAGAATCACCTTCAGACACTAGGATGGGTGATCAATTGGGAAAAATCAAATAAAGAGCCATGTCAGTCGATAAGATTCTTGGCTACATCATAGACTCAACAGTTTAAAAAGTATTCTCCCTGCAGACAAACTAGACAAAGTGACGTATCAGTTTCCCTGAGGGAGATTTCGGTAGTATTAGGTCTCATGACAGCCTGTTTTCCAGCAGTTCCTTGGGCCCATTTTAATCAAAGGCCTCTACAGCATATTTTTCTCACCTTGAGAGCCTCAGAGTTCTCCTTCTGAGAAGTGTCAAGCAGTCTCTATGATGGTGGAGAATGGAAGCACATCTCTCCAAGGGGCTAGAGTGGATCTGGCCAGTTTCCCAAAGGATAACGACAGATGGCTCCTTATGGGGTTGAGGGACACACATACAAGAAATTTTGACCCAGGGCCAGTGGTCAAGAGACGAGGCCAGATATTCCTCAAACCAAATCAAAAGGGAACTCTTGGCTGTGGGACAGGCAATGATAAGATTGCCACATATACATGTGAGGTAATCTTAGCAGAACAAGTACCTGGATGTGACCGGATGTCAGTCTCTTACTATGCCTGCAGAGCAGAACTGGAGTGGGAGAGGAAAAAGCAGCACAAGGCAACAATCAGTTCATATGCTGACAAATATGCATGCTGATAGGAGGAGAAAGCATAGTGAGAAATTAGCTCATTACTGTGCTGTCTTTTTTCACTGTTCAGACTATGAACATACAGACCTGTTCACAGCACGTTTGTCAAGCTGTTTCACTCTGCATTGATCAATGCAAGAACACACAGAAACCTCTAAATCCAGTTACTACATGAACCAAAAATTTTAAAAGACAAATATCTTTATTACCTTCCCTGAATGAAAAAAATCCTCCTTCATTTGTGTCTCGCATTCTTCCCCTTCCAGGACTCTTCAGCTCACAATGGTAGGGGTTCAGTAACAGGGACCGTGCTGTCAATCCAAAAAGCAGTGGGCAGGACTAGGTATGATCAGGTGATCATGTGCAGGCTTGAGAATCAACATTGACAACACCTCTACACCTTTTTTTTTTTTATCCAAAATGTAGCACAAGCAGCCAAAACCTACATGGATTCAAAAGTAGTGCAGCAGTATTGCCACACCATCAGAGGAGGCTGCATTAGGCAGACTACACTAGCAGCATTACCA